TACTTAAGTATAATTAAGATAAACATTTATAAATGAATCATGTATTAATGTCCTTTTCATGTTCACATACTTTCTCTTTCTGGTATTTTGCTGCTCCTATTCATCTTCTGGTCGAGGTCGAACAACCCTGCATCTAAACTGAAATGAGGATTAATTCCAAACCGTCTATCTCATAACCACTCAAATTCCATGAACGATCCAATTCTACCATTTGAAGACGCTGGCGAACATGCTGTAAATGAGTATTCATGATCTGAAATGAAGAAGCAACTGGTTTTCAAACAGTTTTCAACATTTTACTCAACTTACGAATACAGTCCGCCATGCAGACACAAATGGAGCAAATGGAGAATTCTGGAATCGACCTCGGCACCATTTGATGCAGTAAAACAACCCAACATGACCTTATCTAGTTTTCGTATCCACGATCAAATTTCTTTCCTGTTATAAAACTACGATAAGAGTGCTGAAAAAATGGAATAAATATATCACTGATCTCAACATAATACATCAATAATCTTTAAGCCAAGGGTGCTGTTCACAACAAAGTTATATAGGAGAATTGACTTCAAGCTTTATTTTTCCCAGATATTTGTATTACATTCATCTGATGTCTGGGTTTTTTGTTAATGCGAAGACAATATTTCTATATCTCTTTATGTGCTACACAAACAAACTTTATAGCAGACTGTTCCGACTGACTTTGATGTCAGAAAGAACAACCAAACTGTAAATCCATTATACATCAAATTTTGTGTAATTTATATAATAACTTATCCATGCCTGTACAATTGGTATGTTCCTGCATAAACAGGAAGAAATATATTATTATTACATCAATTTCCATTCATCACTTAATAAAAATCTACTCAGCATGACCTCAAACTCCTTTACAAACTGTAAATAATCAGCTGGGTTTCCATCGAAACACCATGGTTCAAATTTAGGTAGTTTGATGGTCCTATTATACCTGGACGGCGAAACAGTAGCATCAACCATGTCATGCTTAACATCAGACACATCGTTACACGTAACAGACAAGTCACCATGACTTACTTTCCTGTTTGCATCCAAGACGCTCTGTCCCTTCTTTGACCCAGGCATTGTTGAACTTGACCCAATTCCAAAAACGTTTCAGATATTGCTTGTTCAAAGAGGACCTGTCCGGCACCAGGAAAGATGAACGGTGACTATCCAAACTGTCACCAACGGTCCAAAACCGTCGAAATCTGACTTCACTGTCAGAAACTATCAGCCACGTCTCGTAAACCGTTAACGCCCAGCTCTTGCTACGCTGGGACTCACGCTGTTCCTTGAAGTTTCTCAGGAACGCCTAGTAATAACGGACTCAAAACCAAAACGCAGATTGGCTACTCTAGAATTCTTTATTGTAACACCAACATATATCCAACTTTAAAATTAAGCTTTAACTAAAGTCAATGAACAAATATTACAATAATAAATCACAATATTACTTCTGACGCTTGTCTCCTGACTTCTTTCTGAACAGCGACCGATTGGATGATGACTGGTGTATCGATGTCTCCGCGAAAATTGGGGAAGTTGGTTTTTAGCAAACAACCATGAATTGATCGTTCAATCTTCAACTATATTGGCAGCAGCTTTTAGGAAACTTTGTTTATTAACTGTTATCTTACGAATAAATCAACTAACTCTCTTTTATAGCTGTAAACTCTTCTGACTGTTACCAACTTTTCATAACCCAGAGATTCAAAACAGCACCTGAGAGTTTCGCAAAATATACTTCAATTACCTGATTTATTTCGTTTTTCTTAATGTAATCAACAATTTACTCAGAGTTTTAACACTCCACATGCAAAGAAACAACGAAATTCGATGACAGATACATGTCCACTCAAACTGCTGAAGGCGTCTACTTTTCACCATATTTCTAAGTTTTTCCGTTAAAATATGGCATTTATAATGTATTTCAGTTGTAAAAACACTTGAAAACAACTGATAAAAACCCAATCACAACATCGTGATAACTCGTAACAACAGCCCGTGTGTGCCTTTATCCACTGCCTCTATCTCAACTTCATCGATTTTGAAAAGACCTTCAAAAGCGTTGAATACGAGTAATTTAGAAGCCACTTCAACGTCATGGGCTGCAGCTCCGCAAATCCTTGTCAACCTCAATCAACAGGCATGATAACGCTCTCTTATCAGGTGGTCTGCAACGGAAAACTCAGGATGGCATCTGAGCTGAAGACAGGAGTGAAAAGCCTGCCTGCCTACTATCACTGATGATGCTCCTGACTTTGATTTACTGGATTATGCAGCAGTGTCTAGGGAGCGGCGAGACAGGAATACGTTCGGTCTACGAGAAGACTATAAGAGACTCTGGTTTCGTGGACGATTAACGTCAGCACAGCACTTACCCGAATGTACGCTGTTCACAAGTCGATCACAACTATAAGCATGATGCGGAACAAAGTTTCGACTGGCGCTCAACTTTGTTGGGGACCTTACCGAGGGGTTTACAATTTGACATGTATAAGAACCTGTTCTGGTTGCTTGTACAATAATCGGAAAATTTAAACTTTTGAAGATGTATCAATTTATGATACTTCACGATTGCAATTTATAACATAACTGATCGTGCCTGTAAAAGTGGCATGCATTTCTTGAAAAAACCAGTTTACACGAAATATAGATTATTATTGCTATAGAGCCTTGATTTGTGACGCCATCAGGCTAACTGTTCTGAAACAGTCCGCCAAAGCCCTCTGTAAGCCTTCATGAGACTCTCCCCAACATCCGATGGGTTCAGGTAAACTGCCAAGGGAGCGGAAAAGAGCCATATTTTCTCCGATTCACAAGGGTGGAGACAGTCAAAATGTCCCCAGTCATGGAGCAGTAGCACTGCTCCTAGTGGTATCAAAAGTACTCGAAAGTATTATTGATGATGGCATCAGGGAGCACCTCAATATGACCAATAGACTCCATAGAGTCCAACACGGTTTCAGGAAAGGCAGATCCTTCATAACAAACTGAGTGCCAGTTTGAGACGATTGGACACCATGGTAGGATATGAATATTTCGATCCACATGGTCTTCCTAGACTTTGGGAAGGCATCTGACACAGCCCACCGTGGCCTTCTCCTACACGAAATAAGTCATGCAAGTGTAGGTGATCAGATTCTGTCATGGTTGGAGGAATACCCAGGTGAAAAGAAATTATGCACTAAGGTCAAGCGAGTCCGATCATTTTGGCATGGCTCGTCATCAGGGTGTTTGCAGGTTTCCATTCTAGGGACGCCGATGTTTTTGATTTTCATCAATGGCCTACCATGCTGTCTTAGCTGCCAGACTCTTCTATACGCCAACGTAAAGATGTGGGGAGCAATAAGGTGTTCTGAAGACTCAGATAGTCTGCAGTCAGACTGAAGATTCTGATAGACTGGGCGGTGGCCAATAGTATGATTTTTAACCTGAAAAAGTTCGAAATGGTGAAATTACGCCCCTGTAGGCTCCAGAATGCAAGTTGCACCCTGTGCAACGAAAGCCTGTCCCCAAAGCGTTGGAGAGCGACTTAGGTCTAGTTCAAACGGAAAAATAGACACAAGTGTAAATTACATGGAGGAAGTAGCGAGGGAATATGCGGTCATAGGCTCTACACACAGACGGTTAGGTGCACTCACTCCTGAGCTCTCTCTAAGGTTGTACAAACATGTCACATGACGCACTGAAGTGCATAATATCAATGTACCCCCACCGTTAATAAGAGACGCGAACCTCTTGGGAAGAGTCCAAAGTCGAGCGATAAAAGGAGTGATCAGTGTCCGAAACAAGTGCATGATTAGCTGCTAAAGATATTAGGCCTCTCAAAACTTAGCTACCTTCGGTTTAGAGGGGACTTGATTACTGCCTATAAGATAACAAATGAACGGAATCACCTGAACAAAAATCTTCTACCATTTAGTAGTTATAGGCTTCCCGGTGGAAATCTCCGAAGGACAGCTCACCAGAGGACAAGGACTCGGATACACTCCCACTTCTCTTCACTGCTGGTTTGCCGTCCATGGAACTCATTACCAGCAGATGTAGCTACGGCACCGTCTGTGAACAACTCTAGGTGGAGGCTGGGTAATCATGCAATGACATAAGAACTGCGTCCAAACGGCCTATCCTCTTAAAATCCCATAGATCATTAATGGTTAGGCATATAAATTTTTCGTTTCACTCCTTTACATTCCCTGCTATCTTTTTATCCTGACTACTCTAACTACTACACTTACACCTATTACTATTACTATTGATATTATGTACGTATATATATATATAAATATATATATATATATATATAATATATCAACTTCAAATTCAACTAGCTGTCTGCTTTTACGTTTTCTTTATTTCTTTTTCTGTCTTTTGGTTTGCACGACCTACACTAATTATATCCGTGATTATTATCTCTTCTTTTGTCGACGACACCGGTTTACTAACTGGTGAAAGGATCAACTCCATTCACAGTAGTAACTAAGTCTTAACCCACCGTACGCTACAAACAACATGTAATTAATCTCAGCACCACTTCTTTTGGAGCCAACCAAAGCTATGACAGTGAGTGGCGAGATGAACTAATTTTCTTGAAGAGCAGAAATATTTACCTCACAACCAAGAAGGGGTACAAAGAAATCAAATGGTTTTATACTAGCTCGTAAAAATGATATTGGATATTGAAACAAACGAAGCAAGAGTTTATCGAAATTATGCTGTGAAAGATGAAACTAGGCATTTTCCCTTACATTTATAAAGCAAAAGATACAGATTCAGTCTTGAAATTATGCAGCATGGAAATTGAAATTTGAATAAATTTCTGTAGCCGTCTGGTTGTTTAGGTCGACCAAAAGCTACTACAGATGTAACTTGTGGATTTATGAATTACTTGCTTTTTGATGTCGGGTGGCCATATATGCCCATCGATCAAGTTGGACATCTTACACCCGGATTATTTGTGTTACCTTATGAAAAAGATGCATGTTTTGGAAACATATGGAAATAAAAGTTTGATAACGAGCTCCTTGCGTAATGATTCTACCATACAAGACATACCGGATTCACAGCGGGACAGAATCAGACGTCTACTAAACGAGGCTGTTAAATCGAGATTCGGTTCCTCTGGCAGAGGCTTATCATCAAGTGTGCAAGAAGAGTTGAATACACTGGAGAAGAAGAAAAGAATAGCCCAGTCGGTTTTTGATGAAATGGTACAATATGGCAAACGACTATTGGAATGTATAAGAATTCTACGGGTTAGCTGAATACATCTTCGTAATGTTAAATTTCAGGACGTAAATAATGAGGTTCTCACTGTCCCATCTCTTAAATCCAACAGTATAATTAAAGGAATGTTTAAAGACATTCCTTCGCTATTTCAGCTTCATGAACATCTAACCAAGAGCTTTGAATCTTGTAGTATTGGAAGCATTGTATTGCCCTCTGCTTTTACTAGTGATAAAGAGACTCAAATTTTGAACATTTATAAGAGTTTCCTCTGTCGCTATGCACTGAATTTTCGACCTTTCTCTGAGCTTTACTCCACCAATGAAGAACTTCAAGATATATGCAAAGGTATCGTTGTAAGTGAATTTTACTAAGATTTTTACTTATGAATGTACTGATCTAGTGGTAGATTAGTTTCTGAATTAGTTGAGAGTATTTTTTTGTTCACAAAGTTGATAGGGAAGGGTTACATGTGACCCTTCAGAAGAAACCCGACTCATTAAAACCTTGGAGTTTTAAAAGCTAATTTTTTCATACTCATTAAGGTATTAGAAACGTTTGTCTAGTTCCTACTTTCCATCGGTGGGACGCACATAGTTCCTATTAACTTAAGATGTTAATATAAATGCCAAGCCAAGGTTTATATATAGTTTTAACTTCTTTTATTGAGATCTTTTGAAATAATGGTCTAAATTGTGGAACTGACTTTGTTTATACTGGCATTTAGTTACAATAAAGGGAATTTTAGAACTCATAGATGCATTTGAAATAAATTTGAAATTCATGTCTTTCAGTTACTTATCAACCTCTTGACACAAATGAGTTCAATGTCAAGAGCAGAAATGAATCAAGACACTAAAATTCTCCTTATTGAAGTCGAGCTTCGCATAAGTAGAATAAAAGTGAAATTGTGATATGTTTGCCCAAACACTTTGCCTAAGTTCAACTTTTAAATTCTTCACAATATGGTGAGCAGGTGTAAAACTTTCACAAATATGCAGTCCATGGCCTGGTATATTAGAATATGTAATCCCACTACCTTATCATCTAAATACTGTCTTAACCGTCGAAAAATACGTCTAGCTAATTGTTTATAGTTCCTAGCTTGATTAAAAATCCTGTAATTTGTTCTTCTTGAGTATAAAAGTTTGGGAACTGAAAATTTCAGGTCTTCACCTCCACTTTTGTTCCTTTGACTGTGACAATAACTGATAGTATTGCGATTGCTAATTTTTACGGCAAACGTTAAATACGACGTCTATTTCTTTTGTTGCTCACGCCACATTTAATAATCAGTGTTTGCTAACCTAGTTAACTGTTGGTTTTAAGGGAATAATATTTGTAAATTTTACTTCAACAATTTATTTCAGTCTAAATCTCAATATGAAGAACAACGTATCCAGAATGTTCCTGGGATGTTTTATGGTGTCAGTACTGCATTGCCACGTTTCAAGGATCTTATATATAGTAGGTTTCCATTAATTAAAGAATATCTTTGATGATTTGAGTAAGGACTCAAAGGAGCTTTATTGCCGAATGATCCTGAATATGCAAATATTACAAGTAAGTACCTCAAAACTTTTATTATTTCCTCACTTCATCTTAATTTTATTTTTATAGAAGCTTGGAAGTTTATCAAGGATCTGCTGGATCGTTCAGAGCAAGAAGTTATTTTGCAGGTCAGTTAGTGTACTACAGCATATTCAAACTTGATCTTAAGGTGCTCAAAACTAATGTAATTATTTTGAGAGCCTAGAAATGTTTATTCTGATTACAGAATTGCCTAAAGCAAATGATGAAATAAGGGAAAGTAACTATACACATAAACGCGCCAATTCTTAAAAACTAATTAGTGCATTCTTCTACATATTTTACAGGTAAAGGTTTCATTTTGTAATGATTATGATAACTGCTCCTTGGAATGGAATATATGTACCCTAACGTATAGTTAAAGTTGATTTACTGATAGGTATGAGGATCACTTAAGTAATCAGTCTTAGAGTACATGCAAACTCAATGTATTCGATACTCTTATGCTACTTTAATAAGAGAATGGACCAATTCACGGTCGATAAAATTCCCAGTATAAGTGGCTGTTTGATTCATTCAACTTATAGCTTCTACCACAATAAGTGCCCTTAAGTATCTACGTAACTGAACTAACTACTGACTGTTAAATTTACGTGACGGTTGGGATTACACATAACAACTATCTAACGGGCTACACTGACTAGAAAGAAGGTTCTTGTAAGTCTTGTCATCCTTGAAATATAGCCTGGAGAATTTTTTTTATTTTATTATATAAAGTCAAAACAAGTGATTTAAAGAAGAGACTCTATGCAAAGAACTTATGATCAAGCTGTACAGTCGTACATCTATATAGTTGCATGTCATACTGTTATTATTTTATGTATTTACGCCTTTGTTTCAATCTCCTCACTGGATATAATTTCTTAAAAAAACTCATACGATCGTACAGTTTGATAATAAATCTGTTGAGAAGAGTTTCTTCGTTGCATTCCTTATTTTGATTTTCTATATGTCCTAATGCGAATTTTTACCACGTATTTTTTATTATTTTCGAATTGGCTCCTATGCATTCCGAGTGGACTTCAAGCTTGAGCTTTGGGGCCTCACTAGAAGTGGCGCTTGTTTTACAGAGTGAGGTGGCCAACCTCACGCCCAATCTTCCTTCTTTGCCAGGCTGACAACTGGCTAAGGGAGATAAAGGTGTGCGCCAGCGTTTGATCGAAACATACACCACATGCATGGTTGGCAAGCACTCTACCACTGATCCACCGACACACTTCCTTGAACAAAGGTTGGACTAAAATAAATGACCATCATAGCGTTATTCATCTGCGTTATGTTGGGGATCTGAAGACGAAATTGTAATGCTGGCGAACAGGGGTGCAACACCAGTAAGGTGTTTGCATGAGATAACAAGCATGCGAAATATACTGTCCCATCACTACGGTAAGGCAGAAAGGTTAGAAAAGCCTGCGTATGAACAGTGGTAAAGTCTCCATGCAGAAAAAACTCCAAAATCACTTCAAACAAACCAATTCTGACCAACCTGAAGCTGTTTTCATATATTTCTTTTGTCAGTTACATAGTTCAATTATCGATTTTATAAGACAACCTGACCTAGGTAACTTAATGATACCTGTTCTTGTTGGAATAATTATTCTTATGCATTAAATCAAGTTTTCCGTATTCACCCGATAATATCTTAATTTCATGTATTAAACCAACCTTAAATTTCTTAATTTTCATCGAAGTATCTATATGTTTCTTAATCTTCATATATGTACCTGTGTTCATTAGCCTTCATGATGTAATCTTATTCATCTTTAATCACTCTTGAATGACACATTATTTTGAGAAACGATAGCTTTATTTTTTTACAAGTTGATCACGGATCGATATCAGTTAGAGAACCATTGAAAACCATCTGGAAATACTGGACATCTGTTTCATCCTAGTTTTGGAATCATCGGCTGTACGCATTGACTGGGGTTCGAACCATTGAATTGGGTCTCAATGGCTGAATGGTATACGAGGTTGCCTTGTAACCGGAAGGTTCTGGGTTCGAACCCCGGCAGTGAGTGCGTATTGCCAATGATTCCCAAACTAAGATGAAATAGCTGTCCATTGCTGGTTTTCAGTGGTTGTCTAACTGATATCAATCCGTGATCAACTCGAAAAACAAAACTAACCCTTACAAACCAAACTATAGATAATTTTTCCACCGAAAATACCCACTGAGTCATGGAGGAAATAAAAGACAAATTCAGCGAAGAAAACTTTCTTTGTCGACGAAGTCATCTTCACAGGCTGTATAGTCGTATTTATATTTGCCGAAAACGTATAGTAATCTATTATTGAGTAATAGGGGGTGACACAATTGATATAATTACTCGGAAGTGGCTTTAGAAGTAAAAGTATAAATGTTGTAAATTACTTGGTACTCAACGGCACAAAGTTAGAAATTTGATAGGGTTAAAATTGCTATTGAGTGAGAATAAAGTAGTTGAGTTTCAGTTTAACAAGTGTAAAGAGGGTGTGAAAATGTGCAACAGGAACATCTGAAAGGGATAATAGTGAATTAATTATTGAAGCAAAAGCAAACTAAAAGTTAAATTTAAAACTTAAAAAATTTGTTTTTACAAGGAACGAATAGTTAAAATGTTAAGACTAAGGTATACAGAGGTTTTGATTGTAATGACGAATCGTCAAGGCCTTCGCCATACACAAAAGCCTAAACCAGATGCCCTTTGTATCATTTGGCCTCACCTTGTAGATGATCTTGAAAGACGACTCTGGTGAAGCTACGCGGCTTGAGTTCACCAAGTGCATGAGAGTTGAGCTAGTAATTGTTGTGCATTATCCTTTTGCTAACCATGCTGTATAATGTTCAAAGGTGCGCTTGAAAAGTGTCTCTGTCTGTCTGTCTGTCTGTTTTCGACATAGAACTTTGCACAAATGTGCGGAAGTTCAAGTCGCCACATTCCGTGTAGCACGCGAAGCAAGAGAAGAAAGTACAAGAAAAGCATAATAGAAACAGTGAGCAGAGGTGTGAGACAAAGGAGTAATAAAGAAATACAAAACAGTTTCATTGAAGATCATAAGTCACAGGGAGTGGATGCATCTGCGCCACTGAGAACGATTTTGAGCCATGTCACCAATTGTTTCCAACCATAGATTTTTACCGTCCCGAGGACCCCAGCCTGGAAGTCTACACCTTCCTACGTGGCTTAGACCAACTGTTGTGGATTTCATTGACTGGTGCCAAGTTTTTGTTTGACCGCCGCTAGCTTTTTTCCAGCCTGACCCTATATCCGCTAACATTGCTCGTCGAGGGAGGCGATGACTTGGCATACGTAACACATGTCCTAACCATCTCAGTCTTTGTAGCTTCACGACTTCGTCGATTGATTTCCCCTGTTTACCTAGAACTCTACGCCTAACCTCCATGTTGCTCACCTTATTATGCCACTTTACACGGGAAATAGAACGCAGGCACCTATGATCAAAGACAGCTAGTCTTTTCATGTCTTCCACTCTCAGTGGCCAGGTCTCACAACCATAAAGGAGGACGGAGCGGACTGATGAGCAGTACACCCGCCCTTTGGTCGATAGTCGAACATCTCGTCTACGCCAGAGTCGGCGTAAACTAACAAATGCGAAACGAGCCCCTTGTATTCGTGCTGAGATTTCGTCAGATATCAGCCCGTTGGGGCTGATGGTACTTCCCAAATAAGTGAAGCGGTCAACGTGCTCTACCACTTCACTTCCTATTTTTAAACTAGGCGTCGATGTAGTCCAGTCCTGTAACATCATCTTGCATTTGGCGGGAGCGAATCGCATGCCAAACATTCGTAGATTGCGGCTCAAGGTGTTTAGAAGACTCTGCATTTCGTCAGCGTCTTCGCCTAGAAGGACTATATCGTCTGCATATTCCAAGTCAGCGAGATTATTCCCCGGTAGCAAGTCAATCCCTGAGTCGCTGAAGTCACTTAGGGTTAAGTCCATTAACACATCTATGATGAAGTTGAATAGAAAAGGAGATAATGGGCATCCTTGACGGACACCACTGGTCGTCATCAGTTCAGATGACAGCTCGCCGTAAGCCCTCACCTGGCTGTATGAGTACGAGTAGAGTGCCTTAATCAGTGCAATATATTTTCTCGGAATTCCCTTTACAGCCAAGCATCTCCAGAGAACTTCTCGATCGACAGAGTCGAATGCTGCCTTTAGGTCAAGAAATATAATGACTGTTGGACGCCGGTAGGAATGCCTATGTTCTAGAATCTGTCGGAGGGTGAAGATATGATCAATACACCCTCTTCCTGGTCTAAAGCCTGCCTGGCTCTCTCGTGTTTGTGCCTCCCGAGCACCACTCAGTCTACGCATGATTATTGAGCCTAAGACTTTAGATACTATATTAGTCAAGCTAATCCCTCTGTGATTATCACAGGAAGACTTGTCTCCCTTCTTGTATATGGGGATAATCAGTGACTTACACCAACCCGATGGGACTTCTTCTGATTCCCAGACGCTGCCTAGTACCTCAGTTAATCCGACAGTAAGCTGTCTCCACCGTACTTAAATACCTCTGGAGTCATTCCATCAGGTCCCGCTGCTTTGCCTAGTTTCAGATTGGTGACAGCTTTAGTAACCTCAGTTAGGGATGGAGGACCTGTGTCTATATCCCATTCAGGGAGGTGTTGGATGTTCGGAAGGTTGAGCGTGGCTGTGGGCAAATTAAACTGCTCCTCATAATGCTCTTTCCAACGATCCAGTCGTCTATCCTGGAGCTAATTATAGTGCCATTTTTTTCCGAGATTGTCTCACTAATGATTTGTCTTCTCCCACCCGTTTCCCTGATGAGTGTAAATAGTTGCCTGGTGTTGCCTATCCTCGAAGCTTTCTCCATCTCTTTGGCTTTTGTCGCCCACCACTGTTCACGGTCCTTGCGGAGACTTTTCGTAAGTTTCCTCTTGTGCAGCTTTCGCTCCTCATTGAATTCGGAGCTCGCCGGAATAAGTCTTCTAGCATCTATCAGTTCGGATGAGGCGGTGGAGATCCAGTGGTTTTTACTCACCTTTGGGTTTACCTTATTCACAGCTTTTACAGCTGTATCTATGGCTGCCTGGATATTTTTCCAAGCTTCTTCAGGGTGAGCACAGCTGTCGAACACAGATATGTGTTTAGCTAGTTCTTCCTCAAATACGGATTTAGTTTCCTGATCGAGCTGGGGACGTGATGGTTTTACCGCCAGCTGTTTCCTACGTCCGTTCAGTCGTAAGCACACCCGAGCGCGGACCAGTGCATGGTCGGTATCTACACACGTGTTCCAGAAGGAGCGACAATCTCCTACCGACCCACGCCAACGATAGCTTATTGCTATGTGGTCTATTTGTGTCCAGCGTTGGTTTGATGAAGGGGGTCTCCAAGTCAAACAGTGTCTCTCCTTGTGTTTGAAGTTAGTGCTTACAAGAAACAAATGATTATCAGAGCAGAACTGTAGGAGACGGTCACCGTTGTCGGTTCGCTGGCACGGAACTCCATAGGTGCCACCGACATCCTTCTCAGATTGACACAATTTCCCTACTTGAGCGTTAAAGTCACCAGCTAGAACGACTATGTCTGAGCGTTTAGCCTTTCCACCAAACTAGACAGCTTTTGGTAGAACTCATCCTTCGTTTCATCTGAACTGCAGTCAGTGGGGGCGTAGGCGGAGATTACGAAAAGGCATCGGCGAGTAGTGCAGTCCTTCCTCCTTTTTACTGACCCGTTCAGACGGACAGCACACATTCGGCTATCTACCGGGATCCAGTCAAGCAATGTCTTTTCTGCCCTAGTACTCAAAGCTATCCCTACACCAGCTAATCCTCGTGAACTAGCTGTGGCATCTCCTGACACCCTCAAGGTGAATTTTGCAGATTCAACCTGTTGGCCAGGTGGGGTTAGGTGATTAACCACACTTGGGTCTTGTATGCGTGTTTCTGAAACACAACATACATCAATGGCTCGTGATGCCAGGGTCTTGGCTAGTGATGCATGTTGTCCTATTTGGCAAAGTGTCCTAACATTAAGAGCTCCTATATGAAATTGGTGGCGCGGCTTTAAGAGGCTGTCGATGGTGGTTTTTTGGCTTCCATCGTTTTTAGTGGACGCAGAGTGGAGAGGTAGTGGAGAGCTATCAAGTCGAGGAGTTGCATCAGTGGAAGGAAGGCAAGATGATAGAGATGAAGATGAAGACAAAGATGAGTGAGTAATAGAGAGGTTTCGTGTGCATTTCGGATTGTGAAGGCGATTGTTACTTCCCGGCTGCCTACACCGTGGAAGTTGGTTGCGTGACCGCAGAGCCTAGGGGACAACTGCTTGAGGCCGGTCACACGCGGCCTGTTTTTGATCGTTCTTTTTGTTTGGTGTGTCTCAGTAGCAGATTTATCACTCCTGCCCTGTGACACGGCAGCAGGAAGCGCGGTCGTTGTTAATCCGGGCCACGGCCGATCCGGCATGAATTTTTGTGATTTTGTATTGGTCATGATGTTGGATTGGGTAGCTGCTTTTTGTTTAACCGCTATCCAAACAACCTGCTTGGCATGGTAGGACCTCAAGAGGCATAAGTCTCAGCCAGTATAGCTTGAATAGATCATTGCGGTGTTCAAGCCCGACCACCACGTCAAGGTAGCAGCTTTCGGTCGGGCGCTTTGTGCGGCCACTAAAGCTAGCTTCTAACCTAATCAAATTTCTAACTTTGTGCCGTTGAGTACCACGTGGTTTACAACTCTTATATTTTTACTTCTAAAGCCACGTCCGAGTAATTATATCAATTATGTCACCTCCTATTACTCAATAATAAACTGCTATACATTTTTGGAAAATATAAATACGACTATACAGCCTCTGATTATGATTTCGTCGATACCCATTGGTTGAAAACGAAACCTGGTCCAGTCGCTTTCCACTCGCATTTGGCGTATATGTAGCCCTGATACTGTGGAAGATGAGTTAAATCTTTTGAGGAAAATCCTAGTAGAAAGTGGATTTCCACCACGTTTTATAGGCAAAAATATACATTCAAATCCTATGAAACATTACTTATCATCTGCACCCAAGAAAATACTGTACATGAACTTGGAGATCAAAGGTGAATTAGGTTGCGATATCATCAAAAGAAGGGTCTCACAGTTCCTGAAATGAACATTCTTTGCTGCATCTTTCAGAATAGCCTTAACCAATCGACCTGAAAGACAAGATCCTGCTGTTGACCAACTGTATGTGTGTTTATCAATTCACCTGCTTGTGTGCAACTAGGTATATCGATCGTTCAACCCAAGTTTTGTCCAAGAGGGTGCAAGAACACTATCCTGCATGGTTACGAAGGGGTGGACGTGGAGCAATAAGAAGCGCGACCATTCAACATCTGGTCGATAATGATCACCCTATCTCCATAACCTCCGCCTTTAAAGACATCTACGAGGCAAAAAGTAATTTACCCAAATCCCTACCTACCCGACTCATTTGTATTGCTGAAGCTTTGGCTATCGAAACAGGAAAGCCAGATCTTTGTGTACAGAAAACGTTCATTCAACCCCTCCAACTTTCATGGTCTCAATCACTCTATGCTAAAATATGGTAATCCCTAATCATATTTTAGCTCTTCCAATTTTTCATTTTTTCATTTTATCTATTCATTTTGTATACTCTTCCTGCATTACGTCAATTGTTACTATAACTACTCTCACTTTGAACTGTTTCTGGTGTTATTTCACTTGTTCCACTTGTCATTCTAAATCAATTCTAATCCTTACAAACCAAAAACTATAGAAAGTTAATCTGATGCTCGCTAGTGACTTGCTACAGGTTGGAGTTTCCTGAGTTCTAGTGAGAAGTCGTGACCAGTGAGGTCCAATTAGATGTCACGTGTGTGGATGGATGTCCCACCAACGACAATGGTTGGGGTCGCGCTAAATCACGAATTGGTAGAAGTTAGAATTCACGAGCCATTGAATCGGGTCCCAGTGGCTGAATGGTATACGAGCTTGCCTTATAACCGGAAGGTCCTGGTTCGAAACCCAGTGGGTGCGTACTGCCGATGATTCCAAACTAGGATGAAACAGCAGCTGTCCAGTACTCCCTGGTTTTCAATGGTTCTCTAACTGATATCAATCCGTGATCAACTCGTTAAATTCTATGCTATGAAATTTCAAGCAATATTACGTAATGTTTTTATTTTATTCGATTTGTCTACTAATCCTATAATTGCATATGCTTTTTCAAGTTCTATGCATCCTATGAATTATTCTACATATATGACATGAATTGTTTTGCCATTTGACATTTAACTATGATTATAATCACAAACATTTTATTTTAATTGCATTTCGTACTATTATTTTTTTATGTATTCACACCTATGATTCAATTACCTCGCCGGATATAACTTCTCAAAGACCATATTTATATATACGATTGTACAGCTTGATGATAAATTCGTTGAAAAGAGTCTCTTCGCTGAATCACTTGTTTTGATTTTCTACATGTTACAATGGGAATTTTCCATGAGTTAAAAATAGCATGGATAATTTTATCATTTCTTAGATTAAATAATGAGTAGTGACTTGAAAACTATATTCTATCCACTATTTTTGATAATTTATTTTGTTGTCATCCATCAAGTTTTAATCGTTTTATCCAACTTTTCTTTTAAATAGGAAAAAATGCTGAAAGCTCGTGAAGCATTGGGTAAATTAGATGGTCTCCGGGTGAAGTATATTCAAATTCCATTATTGCATCTGTAGGGGCCAGCAAAGAAATTACCACGACGTTCAATACACAGAAGACTTTTAGATAGATTTTTATTTCTTGTAAGATATTTTTGTATGTCTTTGTGTAATTGATAATAATTATCAGACTAATTTCTGATTAGATAATCATATTATAAAAAATTTGATTCTGTTCCTTTTGGTTACCACCACAGATTTGATTAATTTCGAATTAGGTCATGAATGGATTTCATGTGGAGGGTCACTGTAAACTGGGGATTACCGGCGGGAAGCTTTTTCCTCTTCAGCAGTATGTACCTGTGACTTCACCCGGGATCAAACCCAAGGCTTTCTGACTGAGAGGGTAAGGAGTTTAGAAAAAAATAGGAGGACAGATCTGTCCAGTACTCCCTGATTTTCAATGGTTCTCCGACTAATGTCAATCCGTCATCAAACGATCGATACTTGGTGATGCCGCAACAAGTTGCTCTTGACAGTCGAGTGTGAATCCTGCCTCATCTACTGAGGTTCGACTTGGTATCCCAAGGCAAAAACTTCAACACATGGTTGTTGAATTATATTTATCTTTTCTGTTTGTGTAAGCGAAGATTTACATCATTTGTGGTTACATATACATTGTCCAGTAATTTTAGCAAATTTTATAAGTAGCCTTTTTTATTGCGATTTAATTCTTCATTGTCCCTCACGTGTAACATAAAGTGTAGTTCACTTATTATTATTATTCCCTTGCATTCCGAGTACAACACAGGTCTTCAACAACACATCTCCACTTTTTTCTGTTTTCTGCCGTCCTCTTCAACTGGATACACGACTGACTGAACTCTCTCATCTCTTCTTCATACTACCTCCTCCATGTCACCCTAGCACTGACGATCCACTTGTCGCTTGCCATTATCATTCCACTTGAGGGCCTGGAGTGCGATGTTATTCCACGGCCTCCTCCACGTATGTCCGATTCATTTCCATTTACTCCTACATGCTTTTTTCAGTGACCTGCTCTCGCCTGTTGGTTTGTTCCCAGCCAGAATTTCTTGTTACTTTTTCTTTCTGGTTGGCCATTTGATCTACAGTATGAATCCAGTGAAGGCAGCTGTTGATGAAAGTCTGCAACCTGTTGGAAAACTTTTTTTGTGATGCGCTTGTCAAGTTTCTAACCTGTATAGAAGAACCGACTTCACATTGATGTTGAAAAGCCGAATCGTATTTCTTATGCTGAGTGACAGTGGAAAATTTTCAAACTGGTTTCACGTGAAGGTGTTTGATGAAGGTGTATCTTCCCTTTCCAATTCCCGTTGATAGTGATTGGTGCTGGTTGTTGATACTGTCTCTGTTGATTGGTCATCTTCATCACCTCCATCTTCTCTGTGTTCACTTGGAGTCCTGTCTTCGTTGCCTGCTTCTTCAGCCAGTTTGTTGGTTTTTCGCCTGCAAGTCTTCGAGTTTGTGTGACATTGGACATATATTATCTGAGAAATCCAGATCTTCTAGGTGGTCCAGGATATTCCTGACGCCTCATCCCCAACAGTCTGACGCATAATCCAGTCCACCACAATTAAGAATATCATCGTCGGTGATAATATGCAGACAGCCAGCTTGTCTTACTCCTATATGTACTTCGAACGCCTTGCTGATTTTTCCGTTGTGAATCACTTGACACGTGGCATTATCATGTAGCTGTTGAATGAGGTTGACAAAGACATCAAGCTAATTTTCCATATTTTAAATAACTCATCAAAAAGGAAGTCAGGAATATGGGGGTAATACTGATATCACATCAGTCGTAGATGATTATGAGGAAAACAAAGACGATCATGAGATAGAATGGTATAGAATTTTCGTTATTTACATACACTTATCTTAATAACTAACGTGTCTTGTCACTGTCAACCTCAACTAAGAGGCTTTCATACGTCGGCATCCTGTCGATGCCACTTTCTAGACCAATCATTTAAATGTTCTCAAACGAATATTATCTCGATGGATGGTCTGGTATATTTTAATTGACAAAGGCTCAAGATCTCTAGAAACGACTTATCTTTAGTACTCTACGTTTGATTTTCCCATATTAGATAGGCTGTCATCAAATTGATCGGATTCTGCAAAATGATTTTTACGCAGATACTCTCTTGGGAAATTAATTATACCCAAAATGATGATTGGTTTGTTATTTAGAGCCATTCTATCAATAGAAATATTTCAGCGCACAGCTCAATCTATATATCCATTTCCTAACGTGCCAATTTTTATTTTCAAGTCGACAACTGTAGTGTGTATGGAATTTTCACTAATCCTTCACCTCCAGCAGCGGTGTTTTGCAAACACACATTAGAGTGAAGTGCGCTCGTGTACAGTACGTCATTTGGCTAGAAGTAATCAAGCATTTTGTGTCATATTCTGGTTGGCGCTGTTGGTATTATTAATAATAATAATAACAGCTTTATTCCAAACAGTAGTTGTGGTGCAGGTATAGAATTTTCAGTGTGAACTACAATATATTGCATCTAATTACCTCATAAATTATATAAGATTTTTAAAATCAGTAAATAAATAGATAAATAAAAACCAACGCCAAAAAAATAGATAAATAAAAATAAAAAAACAAACAGCGTAGAGTTTACATTTCAAATAATGCACCACAGGATTTGAAATATAAAGTTGATGTGTGATAGAAAGATGAGAACAACAGTGTAATAGTAACGAGGAAAGGAAAACAAAAACAACTAATGGGAACTATTTGTTAGATTGCCTCAGTAAGTTTATCGTGTCATACCTAACGGATTTCTCCTTACATAACAGCTGTGCCAGATATGGTATTGTGGAGTTTTTGCACTTGGTAGTCATAGCATATAGCCTCCTATAGCTGCTGCTTCTAGTTCTACCAGATGAAATGCAAGCAGACAACTGAGTATAGAGAGGATTCTCGGGGTCTGACAATATTGTATTCGCTAGTTTCTTACATGACATAATATGTCTATCCACAATAGTGTTAACCAGTTGGTTTAACGATATCCCACTTGCCCTACTAACGGCTTTTAGTGCCTGCCCTTCTCAGCGAAGCAAAGTCTTTCTTAAGTAGTCCAGGAAAGACTAATGGGGAGCAGTAAAGGAGGATGGGTAGAATACAAGAGTTTACAAACTGAGAAAGCAAAGACTGCTTTATGCAAGATTGCCTAAATTTCCTAACGTAGAACGTTAAGCGAAACATCTTTCTAGTAACTAGCAAGATGTGGGAAGACCAGGAAAGATCGGTGGAAAAACTCAGCCCACGGTACTTGACATTAGATGTAATTTCAACCTCTGTGCCGTCAATGATAGTGGGGCTATGTGAGCTAACTAGTTGCTGTAGGTCACGTTTATGTCTGAAAGTGAAATTGACTACCTGACATTTAGACGGATTCAGCTTAAGACCGTTTGAAGAGTACCACTGACTAATTTCCGACAGAAAGTTATTTAATTTGGAACAATCTGACTGAGAGTTGACAGGCATAGAAGCAGAGTGGTCATCAGCATACTTAACAAAAGTGGCTACATCAGAATACGGCAAGTCACGTAAGAAAAAAGGAAACAGAAAAGGAGAAAGAACAGTACCTTGAGGAACACTAGCTAAAGTGAGTGAGGTAGTGGAGGACTTTCCATTGTAGATGGTGCACTGCTTCCTATCAGAGAAATAGGAATGCAGCCACTTATTTGTCCAGCTCTCAGCCTGTGTTGCAGAAAGCTTACTTAGCAAGAGAGACCTGGGAACAGAGTCAAATGCAGATGTGTAATCAAGGAAGGCACACCGAACGTATTTAGCTCCTTTATCTAGACTAGAAACTATACTATGATGTAGGACAACAGCGGTATCTAACGTACACCTACTGTGTTTATCAGCAAACTGGCCGGGTTCGTTGAAAGGCTATAAAGAGGTTTCGAGATTAAGTAAAATAAGTCTTACCATAGCTTTCAAAAAAGGTGAGGTAATAGCAATCGGTCTAAACTTAACAGTAGGTCCACTTGTTGATTTAGGCACTGGAACAATCTTCATATTTTTCCATGAGTCAGGTATAATACTTTTGGAAAACTATTCGTTGAAAATGTCAGTTAATGGGGAACACAAGATGTCAGCACACTTCTTACGGATAACAGCAGGAACTCCATCAGGACCAAGGGACTGAGTAGGTTTGAGAGATTGAAGACACTTGAGGACATCATTCGTGTTAAAGCATGAGAAGCAGTCATTATTTTCACTATTTGAGTTAAGAATCATAACATTTGCTGGGATACATATAAAGGATTCATTAGGCATGCCAACATCTACACAAATATCATTCACCATTTGCTTACCACCACTGAACTCTCAACTAGTGTATCACAAGTATTCACTCGATTTACCTAATGATGCTTTGACACTAAGGTGGTTGTATCTACTTTCATGGATTAGGTATGATTCATTGACAGATTTATTAAACTGCGCGTAGTCGTTGAGTAACACATTTAAAAGAAATTCATTTTTTATCTGTGTTTTTGAAGATTTCCTGAATAAGTGAAGTAACCAACCAACGAGTCTAAGTAGTTTACTACCACTACAAACTATAAACAGTTTGAGTTGTTATAGCATAAGAATATAATTTTTACTGGATTTTAATTCATTTTTGTTAACTGTTATTTTCACCCCTTTAGTTTTCTGAATATTTAGTTATGACTGAGCCTGCTAACGCTGTTGGTCGTTATCAAGTGAAATCAGAAATACGGCTGACTGGAATGACAGTAGGTTTATCTATCATATTTTATTATAACATTAAAATTGTGTAAAGAACTTCATGGTATGAAGATATCTAGAAATACATTTTTATGGTCTGCATATAAGAACGTGTAAGAACGTTCTTCTATGGTTCTTTCTGCATGACTTGTCTTCTTCAGTAGAAATCAACCTGGTTAAATATGCTGACGACCTTAATGTCTTGTTGCCAATCAATTTTCGAGCTGACTGTTCCAAATTGAAAACAGCTATCTGTCTGATACTCACCAATGGTCTAAGCTTTTAATTGTCTTACATCAGATAAATCCTCCTAAATGTCAGAAAGTTAATTTAACCTGGAGGAATAAACATGGTCATAATGAACTCATTAGTTCACATGAAACTTGTAACTTAGAGGGCACTGATATAGAGAATAACTCAGGTATAAAATATCTTGGAAAAGTTCTATTCTCTGACATGTCTTGGTCACCCCATTTCTTGTCGATTTCTAAGAGAATGTTTCATCCAACCTACTATACCAAGAAGTTAAGACAATCTAGAATTACTTAACCCTTACTTTTATAGTTTGTTAACTCTTGCAACACATCTACTATTTTTTATTGCTTCTCCTTAGTTCTTCAAGGAATAATCAAAAAGGACTATATCATATTGCACAGAGCATTAAAGGTTGTCAGTAGAGTAAGTGGTGTGTCACTTAGCTCTTTACTATCACAGCCGACGGATATCTTAACTCATGTCATAAATGGTCTAAATTCATATTTTCAACAGTTAGTTTGTAAGGACTAAATTTTTGTTTACGATTTTGACCACGGATTGATATCAGTTTGAGAAGCAGTGAAAATCACAACTGGAGTACTGGAAAGCTGTTTCATCCTAGTTTGGGAACCATCATCAGTACGCACCCACTACCAGGGTTCGAACCCAGGACCTCCCGGTTAAAAGGCAAACCTGTGTACCATTCATTTGGTGTTCGCGTTAAATCACGAATTGGTAGAAGATAGAATTCATGGGCTGGTCATTGAATCGGTTCCAAGTGGCTTAATGGTATACGAGCTTGCCTTGTAACCGGAAGGTCCTGGGTTTGAAGCCTGGTAGGGGTTGTGTACTGCCGATTATTCCCAAACTGGGATGAAACAGCTGTCCAGTACTCCTTGCTAGTTTCCAATGGTTCTCTAACTGATATCAACCTGTAGACAAACTCGTAAGAAAAAATAAATCCGTACTGTCTGTCTCTCAACACCTTGTCCATTCACCACTCGCTACTTCGATCTCGTTAGATAGAACTTGAAGTCATTATAAGAGATCATATACTAGCGCACACGACCAAATAAAAAAACTCAACGATACTCTATTTGACCCGCCTGCGTTCCATTTGATACAGGATGTGTTAAGCGTGAAGCCTACAACTTACTGTGTATTCACATAAAAGGTGGCTCATTTATTTCCCATATTTGTAATTCAATGGTGACACTATCCCCATTATCTTCTAATTTTGTATTAGCAATACTAATATTGTTATCCTTACGAGTTGATCACGGATTGATATCAGTTAGAGAACCATTTTACCCTTGTAACCGAAAGGTCCTGGATTCGAACCCTGCCAGTGGGTGCGTACTGACGATGACCCCCAAACTAGGATGAAACAGCTGTTCAGTACTTCCAGCTGGTTTTCAATGGTTTACTAACTTATATCAACCCGTGGTCAAATTCGTAAAAACAAATTTAATCCTTACAAACCAACTATTGAAAGTTATTATTCTTATCGTTTTAAATTTGTACATTTCCACTCTATAATATCCACTCTGCTATTTCCAGAAGTTATTCATGTTATCGGTTTTGGTAAAGTGTACCCTGTAATGTATTTTTCCTGTTATTGTTGTTCATTAAATTAGATGCAGTACTCTACCGAATGCTGTATCATACGTACTGCTTATGTCTGTCTGTCTGTCTGCTTTTAACACAGAACTTTGCACTGATGTGCAGCAGTTCAAGTCGCCACACTCCATGCAACACACAAAGCAAGAGAAGAAAGTACAAGAAATGCAAAATAGAGACAGTATACAGGGATATGAGACAAAAGGAATAGTAATAACGAAGAACAATATAGTTTCATTGGAAATTATAAGTCAAAAGGAGTGGATGAATCTGCACCAGACATTGAGAACAATTTTGAGCCATATCACCGATTGTCTCCAGCCATCGGTGTTTACTGTCCCGAGGACCCTAACCAGGAAGTCTACACCTCCCTTCGTGATTGGCTGGCTTAAACTAACTTTTGTGGATTTCGTTGACTCATGTCCTGTTTTGGTTTGACCGCCCTAGCTATTTTCCTGCCTGGTCCCATGTCAGTCAGCTGACATTGCCCGTCGAGGAAGGCGATGACCATGCATACGTAACATATGTCCTAACCACCTCAACAGATGTAACTTCAGAGCCTCGTCGATTGATTTCCCCTCTTTACCTGGCACTCGACGCCTAACCTCAATACTGTTCACTCTATTATACCACTTGACTCGGGAGATAGAACGCAGGCACCTATGATCAAAGAAACCTAGCCTTTTCATGTCCTTCACTGACGTTTGTAATAAAGTGAAATCATTATTATTACATCTAGACTGTTTCACAGCTTCAAATTCAATATATACATTTCATGTTGAGTGAAATGACAAAGTCATAAACTGTTCTCAATGTACAGCCTAGAGCCACATGTTTTTTATGAGGCCTCTTTCGATTGCATTTCTGATATCGCGTGAAAATTCTCTGCGTAACTCTTGGGATTTATATGAACTCAAAAATATGCGTTATATGTCATTTTGAGACTAAGTTTTATCGGTTTTTATAGATTTTACATTCGACAAAGTCGTTAAAGGTTAAACCCCCTATTTCCATGCTGATATTGTGGTAACTTGTCCTTGAGAATGACTGTATCACACAATAGTTATAGTTTATATTTCACCTTTCTAATGCTGTCTAGGCATCTTCTATGAATCATCTACTTATAAAGAATTTATCTTTTGGTTAGTGATTTTATACTTTTTTATTCCTTCATATTCCTGGGTAACATACGGCTTCAAGTTAAAGGCTTGAGTTTCTGTAGCAGGTTTATTTTACAGGATAGAGTTGGTAGCCTCATGCACAACCTTTCCCCATTACCAGCTTTTTATTTCTGGCTTGGCGACCTGTTAGTAATGTTTGATTTTACATTGAACTATGTCTAGAATATTTATATTTAGTTTTAGATTTTCCCGTCGATTGGTTGGACCGAAGTGCTCGGTCTCAGGTTGACATGTCGGCTTCTTGTGGGAACGTCATCACTCACTGAGGAATGCAGGTACATTCAGATGATGAGTCCCAAGTAGGTCGAAATTCTCATCCTGGATTCCACTACTAGTCTTCATACACCAATTAAATTCTATATCTAGAATAGTTTGTTTCAGTTCTTTAGGTTTTAAACAGGCAGCGATCACTAAGTTGTTTGCATTTATCCTCTATGATGGAAGGAGCGACTTAGTTCGCGCACACACAGCCTTATTTTACTCTGATCTTCCATGTCTAGTAGCTTATTGGGCTTGATAGCCTTTTTCATTCAGGTGACTTCAGTCTTTATCGATGCAAAAAGAGAAAAAAATTGCAGTATAAAATGTGTGAAATCTATTTCATGGCTTCTCTTCAACTACAGACATCTAGCAAAGGGCGGGTGTACTGCTTAGCAGTGTGCTCCGTTCTTCTTTATGGCTGTGAGACCTGGCCATTGAGAGAGGAAGACATGAAAAGATTGGCTAGCTGTCTTCGATCATAGGTGCCTGCGTTCTATCTCCCGTGTCAAGTGGTAAAATAAGGTGTGCAACATTGAGGTTAGTCTTATGTCGAGTTCTAGGTATGGAGCGAGGGGAAATCAATCGATGAGGCTGTGAAATTATATCGACTGAGATGATTAGGACATGTGTTACGTATGCATCCCTAGCCAATGATCGCCTTCCTCGGCGGACAATGTTAGCTAACATAGGGTCAGGCTGGAAAAGAGATAGTGGCGGTCAAACCAAAACACGGCCTCATCAGTGAATGAAATGCACAACAGTTAGTTTAAGCCAGCCAGCCAGCCAGTCACGTAGGGAGGTGTAGACTTCCTGAGCGGTTGGGGTCCTCGGATAGTAAACACGAGTGGCTGGAGACTATAGGTGAAATGGCTGTAAATCGTTTTCAATGGCTGGTGCAGACGCATCCAACAATTATATTGAAATTACATTGTTCTTTGTTATTACTATTCCTTTGTCTCACACATCTGTTTACTATCTCTAGTGTGCATTTCTTCTACTTTCTTCTCTTGCTTGGTGTGCTTAATGGAGTGTGGTGACTTGAACTGCTGCACATCGGTGCAAAGTTCTATGTTGAAAACAGTCAAACAGACACCTAGAAATACATACAGAGTCACAGAAATAAGAATTTACACTCTTTATTCCACTGGAGAAAAACTAAGCACGAAGATCACAGTTCAGAGAAACATTAGGGAATGCATACAATGAGAATGATCCGATGTCTGTCCCATGGAATATGGTAAATTCTAACCCTTTTTCCAAGAAAGAAGAAAGATGACTATGAGTGAACGTGTTTCGATATTGTTTATAATCAAAATTAATATGATTATGAACGATAAATTGTCTTCGAAGTGTCATCCAGAAGAGTAATACTGTTTCATTTGCGATAATCATTTCAGTTTCTATCAGTTTGTTACGAAGCAATAATGATATCACTCGATCTCACAGGTTCTCATTAGCTGTTGTAGACTACCTGAAATTGAAATGGTCATAGAAAAGCATGCCAATTACATACTTCAATGTTTGAATAGTCGTAGTGGAGAAAAGTTTATAAAATAAACGAATCTGAAATACAAACAGCACTACAGATGGCTTTAGTTTAAGCAAACGTCAATTTATATGCTTTGAAAATAGAAAAGGAGGGGGCGAGGAGGACAAGGGAAGATAGAAAATCAGAATTAGCTAATAAACAGTGTTAGTTTGAAGGTTTACATAGCAACTCAAAAGGTTATAGTTTGTCCAACTGTTGAAAAAAGAAAGTGTTTATTTGTCTCCTATTCAAGGGGGGACAGCAGTATTACTACCCAAAATGTCTGCAAAGAGGAGGTGCTGTTTAAATCAGAATTGCTATAATTGAACACATCTCGTCAACGCCTGAGATAGCATTTCAACTAACTCATTCATATGTCATTAAGAGTCATTTACAAGGTGAACAAACATCTACTAATGGCAGCATGTTTCCGACTTCGTTGTACTGTACAAGCCCTCACCATATGCATTGAGAAGCTGGAGTTATATGGTCAAAATGAAAATGTCCAATCTGTACAACACTTACCATGGATCTAGTTCGGGTTACCTCCTTAGGTCTAGGCTTTTCATCTCTTTCGTTTTTTCCTTTTTTCATTTTCAGATTTAACATACCATTGTTATAGTCTGCCCCGATGCTCATTCCATTCATACCTGCATTTGTTAATAAAAAACTATTTTCTAATCCTGCATAATTTTGTTTCTAAGCCGCCTTTAATCTGTGTTCACAACCTTGAACTTCCATATTAATTTAAAAATTATTATCACCTTTAATCACCTTCATTAATATGTGGAATAAAATAAGAAACGTATCTATGTAAAGTTATGTGTGTAAATGGGATTGTACAGCTGATTTTAAGGATGAAATAGCCAAAAAGATTGATTATAGTCTCTTTATATATGAATAAGACCTGATATCTATGGTCGGCCTGCAAAATTCGAGCTACCGATATCCATGCTGAAAATTCCATACTTGTACCAAAAATACAGTGTGGAATCAAGCTGTAAATCAAAAATAAAATAATAAATGAATAAAATAAATTTGAAACGCTTGATTGCAATCGCTTCAGCAAATCGTAGTATATTTTCTGTCGTTTGTATGTTTAATATTTTGAAGGATTTGGAAATCTCGATGAAATGACCTGTGTCCATCCTCAAGGAGTCTAGTGAATGCACTTTGCGAATATCTGTTTCCTTTCAGACATAAATTTCTTGGGATATGCTCTGAAAACTAGATGGAAGCCCTTCTTTCTATCCTTCCAACTTATTTTCTCTTACAAGTACACGTAAATGTATAAACGCAGTTGGAGGTGATATCAGCGGGTTACTTATCCAGTTTGGATTGGTTTATAGAGCACGTGTTGCTGCGTAGCGTTACGAAGCTTAGCTTCAGGGAACCGTCTTTTTATTGCTCCTTTCATTTTCTTGTCAATCTTCGTGATACTACTTCTCCCTTGAATGGGAGGCAAATAAACACTGCCCTTTTCTCAACAGTTGGACAACCTATGACCTTTTGAGTTGCTATTGTAAACCTATAAACTAAAACTGTGTATTGGATGTTTCTAGTTTTCTATCTTCTCCTCCCCTCCTCTACAATCCATTTCTATTTTCAAAGCATATAAATTCATGGTAATTTAAAATAAAGCCAATTGTAATGCTGGTTGTATTTCGGATGCGTTAATTTTAAATTGTTCTCTCTACTACTACCGTTCAAACATTGGAGTATGTTATTGGCATTCTTTTTTATCACCATTTTAATTTCAGGTAGTCTACAGCAGCTGATGAGAACCTGTGAAATGGAGTGATATCATTTCATACTGCAAATCTGGCTTTCCTTTATCTAAATTTATGAAGGGAACCAAATATGTGAAATAATAATAATGTTGACCATTTCGAATACTTAATCTTTTTCCGTACAGAAATGATATACTACTTTAACCAGTTATTGTCCTGCTTTGTTTTTAAAAATCTTGTATTGTTTAGCTATGTGAGGTGAAAGATGATGAAGAAATTAATGTTGATCATTGTTTCAGAATTAAAGCGAAGGAATTATGCGTTGAACTTGCCTTCTCGTAAGTAAATTTTGTTTTTCATTCATTTCATTGCATAAGTCTGTGCATCGTTGGCACAAGGGTTAGGATTCTCGCCGACCGTGCACAAGGTCCGGGGTTCGATCCCTGCCGACTCACGCCTGTTATCAATGGTCGGCCTGCAAAAATTGAGCTACCGATATCACATGCTGTGAATTTCATACTTATACCAAAAATACGGTGTGGAATCAAGCAATAATAAAAAACAAATGAAAAATAATTGTTAATATTAGTCAATGTATAGAAGGAGCTGAACAGATGAATTGTAGTCACGTGATAAAATGAATGGTTTTATGAGTAACTTGTTATCAGTTTGCACACTGAAGCGAACGAAAATATGGAATTATGTAAAAGTTGTGAAGAAATACAAGGTGAGTTAGAAAAGCAAGTACACAGAAATCAAGTCAGTAGAAATCAACACAGTTGTTGAAGTGGTCGAATGATTTCCTTTTGTACGCACAGTTCTGGTTTTTCCAACTGGATTGCTAAAGCTTCAGTAATGCGCCGTGGAGACGAAAGCATATTGTCCTTGTCATATTATTCTTCGATTTGTAAATTGCTTAGAAAGAGGAGTTTGTTGAGATGGAATGACCAGTGTTGTTGAAATGGTTTTCGATTATTGCACTCCTCGCAGCGTAGGAGTGGCACAGCGGTAGAGTCCTCGCTGACCACGCAGGTAGTTCTGGATTCGATCCCCGGCCGACGCACTTCTATACTTAGCTAAGCCAGTGATAAAGACTGGTAAAGATGGAAGGTTGGGTATGAGGCTAGAAACCTCATCATGTAAAAATAACGACTACTGCTATAGAAACTTCAAGCCTCTATCTTGAAGCCCTATGTTCCTGTGGGAACGTAAAACAATATAAAAAAAACTCGCAGAGCTACTATTAATACCTTTCTGAAAGCATGTGGTTGGATAGTGTTCTTGATCCCTTTTGGACCAGATACGCGTCGAACGACCAATATACTCGGCTAGCTGCACAGCAACAGGTGAGCTGATATATGCAAGCAGAAGTGGTTAGATGTCAGATCATGTCCTTAAGGCTTCTTCAGATCAATATATGATCAATGAAAAACACTACTCTTAGCGTTTCTACGAAGATAGTTACTACCCTCCTTCACGATAAAATTGTATACAATTATAATTGTACAGCTACAGAGGAACATGAATTCACTGAAAAGAGCCTCTTCACTGAACTACGCGTTTGGTTTCTTATTAATATTCGAATAGGAATTCTTCAGCAAACCCCTCCGTCCTCCCTTATGACTGTGAGACCTGGTCATTGAGAGTGGAAGACATGAAAAGATTGTCTAGCTGTCTTCGATCATAGGTGCCTGCGTTGTGTCTCCCGTGTCAAGTGGTAAATAGGGTGAGGAATATTGAGGTTAGTCTTATGTCGAGTTCTAGGTATGGAGCGAGGGTAAATCAATCGATGAGGCTGTGAAATTATATCGACTGAGATTTTTAGGACATGTGTTACGTATGCATCCCTAGCCAACGATCGCCTTCGTCGGCGGCCAATGTTAGCTGACATAGGGTCAGGCTGGAAAAGATTTAGTGGCGGTCAAACCAAAACATGGCCTCATCAGTGAATGAAATGCACAACAGTTAGTTTAAGCCAGCCATCCAGCCACGTAGGGAGGTGTAGACTTCCTGAGTGGTTGGGGTCCTCGGGACAGTAAACACCGATGGCTGGAAACAATTGGTGATATGGTTCAAAATCGTTCTCAATGTCTGGTGTAGATTCATCCACTCCTTGTGACTTATAATTTTCAACAAAACTATATTGTTCTTCGTTATTACTATTTCTTTGTCTCATATTCCTGTCTGTTGTCGCTATTTTGCATTTCTTGTACTTTCTTCTCTTGTTTTGTTTGCTACATGGAGTGTGGCGACTTGAACTGCTGCACATCCGTACAAAGTAGTTCTATGTTGAAACCAGTTAGTCAGTCAGGAATTCTTCATGATTACTTAATTGTCTGTGGCAATTTTGGATAAATTCATATTGGGTACTTATTGATCAAGTAGAATCAAATAATTTTCAGGTGTTTATGATATGAACATTCATCATTTCAATACCTTTTTAGCAGTAGACGTAGTAGTAGTGGTAGACAGACGTCATTTTTTTCGATTGTCAATAGACCCAGTGGTATTGATGTGACGGATGAATAAATTTTTAGAAAATCAGACTTGCCTGTCATCCATAAAAAATATACTCATACTATTATTATACCATGAATAATCTGACACTTGTCTGTTTGCCTGCTGTCAGTCAGTAAGTAAACTTGAAAATAATTGAAATTACTCAGTTGAATATGAAAACGAATGGAGGCTATTTAAAAAAATCATTCAGGTACAAATCAATATTTGCATACATTATATACACTCACGCATATACTGCTGCTCATAATATGACTTGTTTGCGACTAGAAATATCACTGACAAAGTATTCAACTTGGTGTTTTTTTTCTTTTAATCTCTCATCATGCCCATAAGCAGCATACGTAGATGGTCACATGTCTTCTACTCAGAAAACAAAAACGCGAACAAAAAAACTGTAGATAATCAATAAATTGTGAACAATAATGTTGACACTTTTACTCACTAGGGTTGTCGCAGTGTGTGTCATACAGCCTAAAGGGTGAAAACTTGTTTTGACAAGTAGAGTAAGATTGACAAAACATAGCAACGTAATATTCAGCTGACATCAAAGTTCTAAACTCTTTCAAATACCGAACAGTTTCGCGCCTTTCTATGCCACATATGAAAAATAACTTTGAATGATTACAGGATTTCATCATGAGCTGACATTAGTTAGAGAACCATTGGAAAACATGGGAGTACTGGACAGCTGTTTCGTCAGTCTAGTTTGGGACTCTTCATGAGTACGCACCCACTGGAATTCGAACCCATGATCCGGCGCCTACCGATGATGATGATAAATAATACGAGATAAACGATAAATAATGAAGATTTTAGGGGTTCTAGGAGTCTACAAAAAGTGAATGCATTGCCCCATTGAGAAGGGTATTAAGCCATGCCGTCAAATTTCCAACCTCTGTTTCTATGCGTCTCAAGGACCCCAGCCAGGCAGTCTATACAAACAGTCTAAGAATTCAAATATCTCAAA